AGCCTCCCAAGTGGTGGCTTTATAAGTGGATTATAGGCATGTACCACATCTGGCTTCAGAAGTCTACACTTTAACTGTCCAAATGTTATATGAAAGTGTTATCATGGGTACTTTACAAAAATGAAATTGAGCTGGAGAGATGGCTCAGTGATTGAGAGCACTGGCTGTTCTTCCAGAAGACCCAAGTTTGGTTCCCAGCACATGGCAACTAACAACCATCCTTAATTACAGTTCCAGGGGCTCTGACATCCCCTTTGGGCCTCCATAGACACCAGGTATACACATGGTGCATTTATATACATTCAGGCAAAACACTCAAATATAAAATTAAAATAAATATTTTAAAAAGTGAGGCTCAGCGATAAGGCATTTACATAGCATGTGTAAGGCCCTGGATTCCAGTCCTAGCACTGCAAAATCCGGAAACAAACTCAAAGCTACAGGGAAAGCATCATAACACAGGTAAATTATGCTAGAGAAAAGCTCTGGTCTCCCTCCTGAAGAGAATCCCATGGTCCCAGTCTATTAGGAGCCAACCAGGTAGGCAGGGGAGGCTCAATATGGGCTATAACACACAGGAAAGCTGGGGGCTACCAAAGACCATTTTTCAAGGTTTCACAGGATCAGCTCTGAAAGGTTGGTGTTTTCTTGGCAGGTAACAGTTGAAGATTTTGAATTGGTTTGTAAAGGTCTGTATCGGGCATTGTGTATACGGGAAAAATACATGCAGAAGTCATTTCAGAGGTTCCCCAAGACCCCTTCCAAGTATTTGAGGAACATTGATGGCGAAGCTTTGGTAGCAAATGAGAACTTCTATCCAGGTAAGAAGTTCTCTTATAGGAAGCAGGGAAAATAACTTTCAGTTTCCTTGATAAATGTTTGTTTTTAATTACATTTGCTTATTGCATGTGTGTGTATGTATGTATGTATGTATGTATTAACATGTGTGGAGGTCAGAAGATAACTTGCAGGAGTCGCTCTTTCCCTCTACACTGTGGGACCTGGGGATTGAACTCAGGTTGTCAGGTTTAATGGCAAGCCCTTTTACCTACTGAGCTATCTCACAGACCCTAATTATTAATTTTAGCATATGTTCCTAGATCATCAGTGATCCAGCCTAAAAGTATCACAGTCACCACTGGCCCTGTTCTCCCTGAAGCCTACATGTCAATCACTTGATTCAGCCTGTATGGGATGTCTCTCAACCTGTTCTCTGCACCATCTCCCAAGCCCTGACTGGCCCATATTTTTTCTTGTTTAGGTGATGGTGATAGGGTTCTGGTTACCTTGTTCTATTTCAGTCTCATCATCTTTTGATTCATCCTCATTTTGATGCTGGTTATTAAAACATAGGTCCAAAGCCAGGCATAGTGACTCACACCTTTAATCCCAGCACTTGGGAGGCAGAGGCCGAGATCTTTGTGAAATCGAAGCCAGCCAGGTCTACATAGGGAGACCAGCTGGAGCTACACGGAGACCCTGTCTCAAAAAGACCAAATAAAACAAAACAAAAACAACAACAACAACAAAAAAAAAACCCACAACAACAACAAAAAACCCACAGAGATCCAGGTATGTCATTTCCCCAGTGAAAATTTTTAGCTCCTTCCCATTCCCCACAAAGTCAGTATCTAGCCTAACTTTCAAGGCCCACCCACATTTAACCTCCTAGCTCCATTTTCTTTGTTTAGTTTTGCACTTAAACTATTACTAAACTAACCCGTCTACTCCACCTTCCTTAGTCTTTGATATGGTTGGAAGTGTTTGTTTTTGTCAGGGTCTCATGTAGCCCAGCCTGGTCTCAAACTTGCTACGTAGCTGAGAATGACCTTGGCATCCTGATCTTCCTGCCTCCCATTCCCAAGTGCTGGGATTACAGGCTTGCGAACCAAACTCAGCTTGAGTTGGAACCATTTATTATCTGCCTTGAAGGTGCAGCCCCAAAACCATCATTTCTTGCCTGCTTCTCCTTCTGTACAAAGGGCATATATAGAGTTCTGTATAAAAGGCAAGATTGCTCAGTGGGTAAGACACCTGCTGTTAAGCCTACCTTAGTTTGATCCCCAGGACCCATATAGTAGAAGGAGAGAACTGACTCCACAAGCTATCCTCTGACCTCCACACGTGTGCCTGTGGCACTTATGCACGTGCATTTCCACCCTCAGAAATAAATAAATGTTAAAAAAAAAGAAGAAATTTTCGAAAGGTTCATATCCTGACTTTCCATATCACTGTATTTACAGATCTCAGTTTTTACTTTCTGTTTTACATATAAAGTTCAAAATCTTAATAACCAAATTTTAACAATTTAACAGACTCCTCTTATATAACTGTGTCACAATCCCTGTTTTTAGGCATCTAGATTTCTATCTTTTTTGTCATTGTTGTTGGTTGAGACAGGGTCTCAAGTAGCCAAGGATGGATAACTTTAAACTCCTCATTCTGCCTCCTCCTCCCAAGTGCTGGGAACAGATGTGCACCACCAACCCAGATAGTTTTCTAGCTTTTAAAAACTAATTTTTTCGGTTTACAAGATGATTCAGCACCTGCTGCCAAGCCTGACAATCTGAATTTGATGCCTGGGGCCTGTCTGGTGGAAGGAGGGAACCAACTCTTGAATGTTGTCCCCCAGACCTGTACATACACCTTGGCATGTGCACAAGCCCAGGCACACAGTGTGTACACACAAACAATAGTAAATAAATGTAATAAAAATCTGTTAAAAATGACAGCACAAAACAAAACCTCTTGCCAGGGGTTGACACACCTGTATTCCCAGCATTTAGAAGTTTGAAGCAAGCTTGAGATCAGCCGGGTAATGTAACAAGACTGAGTCACAAAACAAATCAGTCTAGATTAAGACTCATAAAGGAAGTTGGCTTAAAGAAAGCCCTATTTTACCTTTATTTTAAGCAATAATTAATAAGAGAATAAACTGAAGTCTACAGGTCAATAAGCAGAAGGCTGTACAGAACAATTTCAGTAAAAGTACTGGTAATGGAACATGTTAACCCATGCCTATAATTCTAGCATGCATGCAGAAGGTGGAGGCAAGAAATCACAAGTTTAAGATTATCCTTAACTACAGAGGAATAGGAAGCCAACTTTAGCTATAAGAGACCCTGTCTCAAAAAACCAAATCCTCTCCCCTGAAAAAAAAAAAAAACCCAATGCTAAGTAAACAAACAAATAAGTAAGTAAATAGAGACTGGGCATGGTGGCCCACAACTTTATTCCCAGCACTTGGGAGACTGACATAGGTGGATCTCTGTGAATTTGAGAGCAGCCTGGTCTATGTAGCAAATTCTAGGCCAGCCAGGGCTATATAATAAGACTCTTCTCAAAAATAAATAAATAAATACAAAAAGTTAAAAAGATTGACAAGAGGTATGGGCAAAGATGTGGAGAAATAAAAACTTTCGTCCATCACTGATTGGAATGTAAAATGGCAGAGCTGCATTGAAAATTAACTGATGGATCCTCAAAAATTACATAATGGGGACTGGGGCTCAACAAATAAAGGCATTTGATGCAAAGCCTGACAACCTGAGTTTGATCCTTGTAACTCACATGATGGAAGGAGAGAACTGACTTCTGAAATAAATAAATAAATAAATAAATAATAAATAAATAAAATGGTACATCCAAATAACTTGAAATCATTCTTTCGCTAAAGTATTACCTTTTACTACACATTTAGTCACTTTTGAAAAATCACTGTGAAATAAAATTTATTTAAAGGGTAAGTTCAATAAAGTTGGATAATTACAACATACAAAGTGTGAGATGCCAAATTAATGAGTATTTCATATTTGGGTTATTCTTACATGATCATTTGTCCTATGTGCTGATATATTACTCTGTGTTTTATTGAAAAAGTCTTTACCCCTCCTCCGAAGAAGGGAGAAGACCCCTTTCGCACAGACAACCTTCCTGCAAACCTGGGCTATCACCTCCAGATGAAGGATGGTGTAGTTTACATCTACCCTGATGAGGCAGCAGCCAGCAGAGAGGAGCCCAGGCCATACCCTTACCCAAATCTGGATGACTTCTTGGATGATATGAACTTTTTGCTGGCTTTAATTGCCCAAGGACCTGTGTAAGTATTTACTGAGGTCTAACCATCAGCAACCAGTGCTACTCCAGATCATAAGAATGCTTGTTACATGTTCACTGTGTTCAAATACTATATTCAACTCTCCATGTATCATATTTCCTATACTCCTTTCAATGGCTTTATGTGATACATACATCTGTCTGTCTGTCTATCCTTCTATCCATCCATCCATCCATTTGTGACAAGGTCTCGTATAGCCCAGGCTAACCTCAAAGTTGTTATGTAGTCCTGGCTGACCTTGAACTTCTGATCACCCTGCCTCCAGCCTCCAAGTGCTGGGTTACAGGCATGTGCCACCACACCCAGCTTATGTAATAGATGTGGATCAAACTCGGGCTTCACGCATGCTAGGCAGGCACTCTACTAACTGAACTCCGTCCTCAGCCTGAGATACTTTTATAACTAGAATTTTATAAGCTGGAACTTAGGCAAGTTGAGTGAGTTGAGTCCAAGTCACACAACTGGTTGAGCCAGGGTGGAGCCAAAGTCAACTGACTCCAAAGCTAAGCCCTTGACTTTGAACTACACAGTCTCCAGAGATTTTTTTTAAATCCTTCCCAAGTCCTCTCTCATTATTGTGTCCAATTTTGATGAAAAACTTTTCAGTGAGAGTAATGGTTGGAGGCATATGCAACATTTGCTCCAGTAATTGTTGCCTCCTATGAGTAGTAAGAGTCCTGGTGACTTTGGAATGGTTATTATTTTCCTTAAGTATCTGGAAATATTTTAGAATTATACAATTTTATTTTTCACAGCAAGACTTACACCCACCGGCGCCTGAAGTTCCTCTCTTCCAAGTTCCAGGTTCATCAGATGCTGAACGAGATGGATGAGCTGAAGGAGCTAAAGAACAACCCCCATCGAGACTTTTATAATTGCAGGAAGGTAAGCGCCACAGCCACTCAGGGCACTTTTCCAGGGAAAAGTGCATTCAGTGATTTCCTCACTGTTTTCTGATGAACTTAAAATGTTTTGTGATTTTTTAGGGAAAGCAGGTAGATTACATCTAAAAGATTAAAATGCCATTTCTTTTAAAAATATTTCTTTTTGAGTTTTTAAAACATTATTTTTTTTAAGCCAGGCATGGTGGCACATGCCTTTAATCCCAGCACTTGGGAGGCA